GGATTCGAACCCGCCACCTTAGGTGTATGTGGCTGGCGCCTTAGCCACTTGAGCCACAGGCGCCGAGCCTAAACATGAAAATTCTTTAAGGTGACTAAAGCTTACTGAATTTGTCTCCAGTAAACAAATCAAGACCAAAAAAGGACAGATCAATTCAGTTTTTAAAAATTATTCTTTATGGGAGAATCCTAAGACATTTTATTTGCAGCCGTCTAGATACCTCCCCAGGATCTTCTTACAAGTCTGGCTGCAGAGTCAGAGCCCGCTGGTTCTATTCCCTGCAGTGATGGGGACCCCTCCGTTTGCCTCCATCCCTCAACTGTAAATAGTAGGAAGAATATTCATCCTCTACATGGCTTAAAAACACGAGCGAGTGGTGGCCTCTGTGGACAGATACAAGATGACACCAAGAAAGTGCCTATGAGGTGCCAGGAAAACCACAGACATCCCCCACCAAGCCACCAGAATCAAAGAGCAGAGCTGCAGGTTTGCCCATTTTCACATGATCGGCAAGGAGGCCCCTCGTACACAGACACTGTTGTCTGGCTGCACGTGGAGGCCCCAGCAGATCAGCCACAGAAAACTTGTCAACTCTACACAGAAAACAGGAGCTGCCAGAGCCACCGACCCCACAAGGCCCACGGTAGGAACACTGCTTATTAGAATGTGGGAATAACAGTAATAGAAGCATAACTTTCTGCCACTTTAAAGGGAAAATGACCATTGAAATGTGCATGAAAACAGGCTTTTCATGATCCCCTGCAATGCAACAGAGCAGCATGTACCTGAAAGGGCATCGAGGAGCCCAGATGCCGTTGTTACAGTGACTATCCCATTCCTTGTGGGAGTTCCTTTATTGGATGTCACAGGACTCAGCCACTGTAAACGTCCCCACGTTACTTACACAAAAAGCTAAGGAGACTCCCTCCCCCGTGATTACAGCTGGCACTGGTTTGGAGGATAGCAAATGGATAAGACTATTTCCTGGGAAAATGTTCCTGTGCGCAGACATACTGTTCAGATTATTGTCCCCAAATAGTTTTATGATATTACTGAATTGCGTCCCCTCGACTTGCCGGCTCCTTTTGTGAATTCAAACGAAGCTGTATTCCACCTCTAGAAGGAAATAAGGCAGCCAGGAGCAGGCGATAAGCAGGACAGAAATGGCCGTGGTTTGCTGTTCAGGGCATGCAGATTACTGTTAAACAAAAAGGCTTTTGTAATATTTTTTATTTGTAGCATCTAAAGAAAAATGATAATAAAAATGAAAAAGCAAGAGCAATTTTCTTTATCATTTCTCTGCATGTTTTTTCCTTCAAGCCCCAGCAAAATTAGTCTAAAGAGACATAAATAAAGCCATGGGGCACTGAGCTGGGCTTCGGCCATTTCTGAGCCAGCTGCTTTCCAGGTAATCGCATAGACCCCTGATCGCCAGGTGACCACAGCCAGCACTGAGAGTTCCAGCAAAAAGCAAACTTACAGAAAACACAAATCACGATGCCAGCAGTAACTGAACAGGCTCTGATCATTTCCTTTCCACTGCCGCTGGCCCAGCGACTGCCGTAGGTATCCTTCCTATTTCGTGTCTAAGATGCATAAAAACGGGCAAAAATGCCTGTGCAATCATGAAAAATGGCCTGTAATCAACAGATTTTGAGGCCTTAAGAAAACGTTCCAATTATCCTCCTTGCTGGGCCCTGGGTCTCTTTTCACTGTCAACTAGTTAATCGTGCTCAGACCACCTGAGGAGGGAGGACTCATAGCCCTTCCTCCCCACCTGGGGACACCCGAACAGGAGGAGCAAGTCACCTTGCCTGGGACCCAGGACCCACAGGAAGCACACTCCCTCCATAAAAGGTCTGTTTATATATTGATTTTCTGATGTCAACATGCAGATTACAACTGTTTCTTTAAGCTCTTCTGTAGAAACGCTAACTTGTATTCCGCTCATCGCACTCCAGGAGCCAGCTTCCCAAGTGTGGAGCTCAGCTTCAGCGGGAGATAAAGAGGACGGCTGCGAGGTGTCACATGGTATGATGGGAGCTAAAGAGGACGGCTGCGAGGTGTCACGTGGTGTGATGAGCAAGCAGCTGTAACAGCGACATGCTCCCTTTAAAGTCAGAATGTATTAACAGCAACACGTGCACATTTAAGCATGCAGTGTGATACCTTTTACATGTGTGCGTATTTACAGAAATATGCGGGTATGTGTGAACCCACTATCAATTTTCTGATAAAATTTTCAGCAATTAAAAGCAACTATGACCTATGACCCATTTATTAACTGTATGACTCAGTTTCTTCCTATGTAAAAACTGGATAGCTATAGTTTATATCTTAAAATTTTACTGTAAGGATTAAGTAGAATGATTTGTAAGAGGAGACCAGTGTCCTGCCCTATAAATTATTACAATTTCTGTTATTATTACTATGTAAGTGCCAAGTACTCTGGAAGTCAGACTGAGCTGTTATTTCAGACCAGAGCTGCCACTGTTCTTGAACTGGCTATGTCCCCACCCTGCCGACTCCTGCGTGGAGAGGGAGGTCGTCTGGATGCCCCTGCAGACCAGGGCATCAAAGGTCAGCTTACCTGGTGGGGACAGGGACCTCAGTCAGGGCGCCCAGCATGACAGCCTGCTGGAGCCGGACGAAGGCGATGAACGGGGTATCCAGAAAGTCCACCTCCCCCACAAGCACGTTGGAAGCTTCTGCGTCACGGGGCAGCTTTTTCATGAATTTATTCTTCAGCTGCATGGGAAGAGACGAGAAAACAACTTATTTCCAGAGCAGGACCAGAAAGAGACACCCAGGATCTCTCAGATGTATAAATCCACGTGCAGGATGTCCTAGTGAGCCACTTCTGTGTCATGTTTACCCATCCTATTGTAGTAAACATCTCTCTATACCTTGGATTCAAACATACTGAGGACAGAAGCAGATGGTTTCCACAGTCAGCAGTGCACAGGACGACTCTGTCCACTATGTACTCATCCACTCACCAAGAGCTCCTCCAGCCTCTCCCGTGAGCCAGGCTGTGCTCTAAGCCTGTGAGTGTGAGTGCAGGACAGAAGGGGCAGCAGGTGAGCCCCAGCCACTCCACTGTTACAGGACGGCAGGGTCCTGAATGTGAGCGCAGGACAGAAGGGGCAGCAGGTGAGCCCCGGCCCCCCCACTGTTACAGGACGGCAGGGTCCTGAGTGTGAGGGCAGGACAGAAGGGGCAGCAGGTGAGCCCCGGCCACTCCACTGTTACAGGACGGCACAGTCCTGAATGTGAGCGCAGGACAGAAGGGGCAGCAGGTGAGCCCCGGCCACTCCACTGTTACAGGACAGCACGGTCCTAAGTGTGAGTGTAGGACAGAAGGGGCAGCATGTGAACCCAGGCCACTCCACTGTTACAGGACGGCAGGGTCCTGAGTGCGAGCGCAGGACAGAAGGGGCAGCATGTGAACCCAGGCCACTCCACTGTTACAGGACAGCACGGTCCTGAGTGTGAGTGCAGGACAGAAGGGGCAGCAGGTGAGCCCTGGCCACTCCACTGTTACAGGACGGCAGGGTCCTGAGTGTGAGTGCAGGACAGAAGGGGCAGCAGGTGAGCCCTGGCCACTCCACTGTTACAGGACAGCACGGTCCTGAGTGTGAGCACAGGACAGAAGGGGCAGCAGGTGAGCCACAGCCACTCCACTGTTACAGGACAGCACGGTCCTGAGTGTGAGTGTAGGACAGAAGGGGCAGCATGTGAACCCAGGCCACTCCACTGTTACAGGACGGCAGGGTCCTGAGTG